CAAAAAAAAAAATAATAATTTTTTTTTAAAATGGTACTTATATATTTGATATGATGTTCCCTCGACAATTTTGAATCAAAATACACTCTCAGATTTTTTACCTTATCAGTAAAATACAGTTTTTCCATTTTCAGTACAAACATGATCAATGTCTATAGGGATAGGGCTTTTCTTTGGGTTGCATATATAAAAGAATTTCAGTTTTATTTTCATTAAGCTGGAGCTTATTACCAATCATCCAGTTCTTGACATCATCAATGCACAGACCCTTGGTGGTAAGCATGGTGGAACAGATTTGTATAACTGTGTATCGTCTGCGTACGTGTGATAGTTTATATTGTGCTTTCTGATCACAGTTCCAAGCGGCTGTGCACATAACTTATACAAGATTGGACCCAATACTGAACCTTGAGGAACTCCAAATTCTAGTTTAAAATTGACGAAAGAGAGTCGAGTACAACCACATATTGTGCACGGCCAATCAGGTAGGACCTGAACCAGTCAAGAACCGTGCCAGACATGACAAACGTGCTGAACAATCGTTCAATAAGAATAGTGTGATCTATAGTGTCAAAAGCAGCACTAAGAATACTAAGATCAAGAAGAGAAAGAATTGAAATTTTGTTCTCATCCACCTCACACAAGAGGTCGTTATATATTTTCAATTACGCAGTTTCTGTGTTATGAAATTGCCGATAGACAGTTTGGTATAATTAATATAATAAATCGTTTTCTTTTAGATGATTCTTCAATAACATCAAAACAACTTTCTCTATGTTTTTTTTTTTAATTAAAAGGGAAGGTTGGAGACAGGTCTGAAATTCTTGAGCTCCTCGGGGGATGTATTTGATTTTTTTTAGAAGGGGGATAACTAAAGCATGCTTAAAGAGTGATGGTACTACTCCAGACTGAAGAGACTCATTAATGATGGAAGTCGTAAACCCAATAACACCTATCAAGACGTGCGATGAGCAGTGGTGTTGGAATGGGATTAAGACTACATGTTTTATGGGGTGATGATATCATGATTAATCTGACGTCTTCTTGTGTTACACATACAAATTCATTAAAGATTACCCCCTGAGAATGTTTCAATACATGGTTGTTTATGGAGAGTCATGTCAATTTTTGTCCTAATCTTGGATATCTTGTCTCTAAAGTATTGACCAAAAACATTAGGAAGGTTCCCTTTTTTAGGTACATTCGTGGGAAATTTGTTGCTGGCCGGATCTTTCTAACCAGACAACTGATTTGTTATACAAATAAAGCTTCAGAGGTGGTAAATGCATTAATTTTTCCGTTATACTACTGCCACAACAGAACCAATGTGCTGATCTTGACTGACAGTCAGTCCCCTTGCAAGGGACTGCTAGGCAACGGTTCATAATAAATGATTTGCGTCTCAAGTTCAGTGAAACCACAGCCACAATAAAGATGCAGTGGATTCCAAGTCATGTTGGAATCGAAGGAAATGAGGCAGCAGACCAAGCTGCCTACGATTACTACGAAGCCAGAGAGATTGAAGGAGACAGACGACCAATAACATACATGGGAGTCTTTCTAATGGTCAAGAGGGGAATCAGAGACCCACCATGCAGAACTGAGTACCAGCACCTGGAGGATGTCAATGTGTATTCTGGGTACTCCAATAAGCAGGAACAAAATATCACATGTCGCTGGGACCGGGCTGAGCTAGCGAGACTGTGGTCGGACCATCATTGGCACATGCGATGGTATCAGAACTTTGTGAATGAAGAGCTCAACCCACGTTGCCGAAGATACAACCATGAAAGGGAGGATGTCAAACGTAATTATGTTTGAATATCCAGGAACAATGGCAACTCGAATGGAGTTATTTGGACGATGCATCTGAGTATAATGACAATGGAGCTGAAAAAAGAGCCTCGTTTTCGCTCGAAGATTTCTTCGTAGAGTCCACCAGTCCCATTAAGGAAACAAACAAAATCATCATCATCATCATCATCATCATCATCATCATCATCATCAGTATCATTATCATCACCATCATCATCATCATCATCATCATCATCATCATCATCATCATCATCGATCAACAGCAGCAGCAGCAGCAGAAGCAGCAGCAATGATCCCTCATTCTTCTTCTTCTTCTTCTTCTTCTTCTTCTTCTTCTTCTTCTTCTTCTTCTT